CACATGCCCGCTACGTGAATCGGGTTTTGAAATACAGCTGATTTGACCGTCAAAGTGCATTCATTAATTCATTAAGCAAAAGTTAGATTGAGACACACCTTTACTATAATTTCGAGCAAACATATAATTGTTTTTAAGTGTTAGTCTGGTTAAATTCTTGTTAAAGTCCTCCCGCGGCCACCATTTGGCAGCCAATCGATTAATGGCACAACACCGGCCCACATTTCTGAGTTGTCGGCGGTGACGCGTAACAAACACGACGCGTCAGTGGTGATGCATAATGGATGCGCCGTATCCGGCGAAGCAACATGTTTATGGATTTTTCCACTTTATTAGACATATTTGGACTGATGCGAATTATAGAGTGGTGCGACGTGTACGGCGGAAAATACAGTAACCTTTCTTACGCCTAGTTGCAGCCACACACCACAATGGAATTTGTTTCCTGACTGTTGTTCAAGTTATCTCACTCACAACATTCACGAACAGATAGACGGAGAGTTAGTTCCACTTTCCCCTTAAAACATTTTGCTCCTGATTCAAGGCAGTTCAGTCACACAGTGTCAAGACATTTCTCATTTTTATTGTGAGCTAATGTCGATTAGCTAAGGTGGCCATCTTGAAATGAGTGGATCCAAAATGTCAATCAGTTGTAGTTGTACACCTAATGATTATGTTTTAAACGTTTCATTGAAATCTATTCATACGTTCATGAGATTTTTGACAACAAATCATCAGTTAGCTCTCTGAGTGCATGATGGAAATCACTCTCATTGAGTCACGGTGAGCATCTTGAGTGGGAACAATCGTTGATCAGTGGTAAGGTTCTTTTTTTAATCCATCCAGATGTTTGTGAGATATTTTACTAACGAGACTGACAAATGAACACACGCACAAACAAGCAAAGCTAGTATAATTCCTTCACCTCCAGTGACAGATCAGATCAGTCAAAGGCAAGAGCTTTCATTAACAAGCATATGAAAAAGATCTAGACATTACAATTAGTGAGCAGAAGGTTTAAAGAGGCTCAGATTTCTCCCCTAAAGATTAAACACCTCACACGTTTAAATCTCGGTTTGATTTAACTGAATTCTGGCCTCTTGATGCCGTACTCAACTCCGGGCTTTAACCAGAGGATGCCTGTCTGCGGCGCAGATGAAAATGGCTGCTGTGGGTGTCGTGTTTCCTGCTTTAAAAGGGGCTGATGGTTTTACAATGTCTTCCTCTGGAAATTCCTCGCTGCTGTGCAATCTGTGCATGTGAGCCATCAGCAGTCTGGGTCATAATTTGCAGCATCTGTCGCTGCCGATTTTCACTTTTTCAGAGGAAATGTGCTTTTTCAGACATTTAATAATAAGATATGAAAAGGCAGAGAGGGCTCAAGATGAGAAGATAAATCCACAGATTTTAATTAATTCCTGCTGCCCAGTGCAAACAGTGGTTTTTCTGCAGCGATGATGGAGCAGACAGACTGGTCCGACTAAGGTCTCTGCTCTGCAGAACCACCAGATAAACAAACATGTTGCAGCTTAGTTGACATCAGCTGTTCAGGCAGTCTGGAAGTGAAAAAAATCCACATTAGCTAAACTTTATTTAACCCTGGAGGCGTCTGAGGTAAAACCACAAAAGGAGAAAAACCTCAGAGCCGCATTTTTACCAGATTTTACTGACATCCTTTTTATTTCTCACCTTTTCAATTGTGGGTTATAAAAGCTGAAAGTCATTCTCAACACACATTCTGATTTTCAGTTTATTTTAATCTTCTTTGTGTTTTTTGAATGAATAATTATATAAATAAAAGCATGCCTAAATAGACTTTAACTCGATCAGTACTTCAGAATCAGACTGTGCAGCTCTAGAAAAGCCACTTGCCAAAAACAACTGAATTATTCTCCTTCTTCTTCCTTTCTCCTCCAGTGAATTGTCAAATTAAGCCACATCCTGACTGCTGAGCCGCAGCAAGCTGCACACTGAAGTCTTCCTCGTTGTATTTGTGTGACTCAGAAATGAGTCGACTACAGAACGGGCTGATAATATCCCTGGTGACTGAGCCCTGTCGCGTGGCCTGCCCTCTTTGTTTACTGATAGACGAGCGCTCTTTCATCCGCCTCGCAAAATGAGCTCGAGACCTTTTCTGCAGCGTTGGCCCTCAGTCTGCCAAATGAACATCTGTGGCAACGACTGCTCTGGTCCCCGTCACCGACAGAGTGATGCAGTCCTCATATTGACGGTGATGCCTCTCTTGTCTCGGGGTCATAATGAGGAGCTCATTGCGTTATTGTTTGCCAGGGTGTGGTGCTGAGTTTGTAAAACTGATGAGGGATCTTGGGGCGCAATGAATTTTCACGAGGCGATGCACATCATAAAAACTGTTGGGTCATAAACAACCCAGCGCTTTGTTGAATTTGGACCGAGCCAACCTGGAAAGGTTTAAACTCAACTGGGTTGGATTATCAGTTTAACCCCCAAAATGGTGTTAAAACTACCAATGTGTTGAAATAAAGCTATTAATAACCTGAACTCTTGGTTATTAGATAATCACAACTTGAGCTGGTGCCAGTTAGGTGATGCTAACTGCTATTAGCATCACCTAGCTTGCCCCAGTCAATGTTAATTTAGGAGCCTAAACTCTCTGTCCAGAACAACTCAAGGTAATAACAAAACAGACAAGGTTATTAATTTGTTTTTACAAAAACAAGGTGTTTTTTTTACTAGGGGCCGAGACTGGGTAGAGCCGACTCGGGACCCGAAAGTCCCAGGTTCGATCCCCAGCCATTCCCACATGTCATGGTGTCTCTGAACAAGACACCCAATCCCTAATTGCAGACCAACCCGAAGGATTTAAACCTAGCATACAGGTTAGGAAAATAACCTGATTATTAGGCCTGTCACCATAACGCATTTTGCTGGGCGATTAATTGTCTCAGAAATTATTACGATAAACGATAATATTATTTGAAATTTAACAACAATTAGCAATTGTCAAATTTTATAAGAAATGTGGATTTGTTTTGAGTGTAGTACTTTTGTTGACCACCGTATGCCAGTACAAGACTGTTTGAACCGACGGATGGATAGTTAAGCAGCGTGTCTCTTTAAGAAAAATGGGAGGGAGGCCCCTTGACGTGATGTGGGCGACATGGTGACATGGCAGACGCTCAGTGTGGTTTGAGCTCTTTAGCATAGCATTTTTCACAAAGAGCTTTTAATAAAAAAAATCAGTAAACAAGTTCTCAGCTTCTTTTTGCAGAGAAAAACAACTTTTTACACAAAGGCACAAGTTTCAACCGTGAATTTTGGAGCTTCGACAAGATGGAGTTTTTTTCCTGAGGTCAGCCTGTTAGCTTAGCTTGTAGCTTAGCTTCTCAGCTTAGCTGCTTTTAACGATCCAAAACGTGATTTTAGACGGTTTAAATTGATTTTAAAGAGAAAAGAGAAAGGGGGGGGGTCAGTGAAGAGCACTGGAGTTGAGCCTTTTGTCATCCGGTGTCTTCGGTAGAAAGAGAGAGACACGAAGAAACGATAAAGCCGATAAATGAAAATGAGGTTGATAATTTTTATTTATCATGCGATTAATTGATTTATTATTTATTGCGACAGGCCTACTGATTTTTCATTTGTGGAACTGTGCAGTTAAAAAAAAAAAAAGCTGTAGGTTTCAAGTTTGTCTTTTATTTGTTGCAAAGCGCTCACCGCCGCCGGATCTGTTCACTGCATCAGCTGTCACACTTGTCAAAATGTCACAACCCTGTGGCAATTACTGCAACAGCTTTATTTTTTTACATTTGATCATTTTTAGTACTTACACTGGTTTTGTTTGTTGTTTTTTTCCATCTGTTGAGTCATCATTCAATTCAATTCAGTTTATTTATATAGCGCCAAATCACAACAAAGTTGTCTCAGGGCACTTTACTTAAACATTCACATACACACAAAGTAAAAAAGCCAATTAGTAAAGTTCTCTATCTAAGGAATCCAGCAGACAAGTTGAATCTTGGCTTCGTTGCAGTCTCCCATCCTGAGCAAGCACAGTGGTAACAGTGGAAAGGAAAAACTCCCTTTTAAAAGGAAGAAACCTCCAGTTCATAAGAAGCGTTTGCACAGTTCTTGTTTATTCTGGATAAAATGCAAACAGGAAACACATCTTGTGAGGATCAGAACAAGTACGGGGACATGAGTCTGTCTCACGGGAAGACCAGGACACAAAAAACATGCTCATTTTTTAGCTTAATTGACTGATCATGTAGCAAAGAAAAAACAACTAATTTGATGGTGCGGACCTTTGGCTTTGTATTACCATAAAACAGGAAGCAGTATTCATTTGCTGACTGGATGCGTACGCTGTGTCCAGTGACAAATAAAACTGTAGGCGGTGATCCGGTGGCTGTTTGTTTGAAATGCATGGTTGATTAAATAGGTCAAAGAAGTTTTTCAAACAAGTAATAAACCTTTTTTCTGCTTTTAAAGTTGCTCCTGCAGACATGACACAACGTGCCCGGGTCGAATCTCTGTGCAGAGTGCAGAATATAAATGAATCGGATGTCATTGGACACATAAAAGCCCAACAGGCAGATAAAAATCTGCACTTATTTTGAATTATGCATATCTTCATGGGATGGAACTGGTTGTGTCTGCAAAATGAAAAGTGGCGAAGTTGTTTGTAAAGTGGCCCCTCAGAGGAGCCCAAGAGCTCCAGCCCACAGATGAGTCTCAGGGAAAAAGAGCCTGGCTGGCCAAATTTAGCCGTCGCGTAGAGGCCCCCTTTTTCTGCAGGAATGTAAAAGCGAATGCAGCTAATGCCTCCGAGACCTCCAAGTGCTGACATTTTAGTTGTTTATTTACTTTTCTGCTTTCGCCTGTGCATCACTTAAGGGACAGCGGTGGCACCTGACTCGATCCATCAGCGTTCCTTTCACCATTGGTGGCACGACAAGCGTTTTGAGAACAGTTGTCACAGCCATCCGTGATCAAATCTGTGTTTACTACGTCCCAATTGGCAGCATAACAAGCCACTTGTGTATGTCAAATACTGCTGTTCAATCTGCTTGGGCCTGACAGATTGAGAGGAAGGTCTTGCTCGTGCCATTTGATATTTTTGAGAGGGGAATTGCAGCCAGCCTCCGATGAAATGAACATCCCAGAGTGGGGAGCTGCACTTGATGTGCCTCAGAAAACTCTAGGTGGTTACATCACATCAGCAATATCCAACAAAACCAACAAGAAGTCGATGGTGAAGCTAAAAGTATGCTCATCGAGCTGGGCCATCAATTTATTCTGTCAGACATCGTCTCAGCGTGATGCATCCCCAGCAATGTTCACTGTTATTTATACTCTTAAGAATGACGCTCGAATCCTTTTAACAGAACCTCGTGGCACCACCATGTGAACACTTTTCGGGTAAACATTTCGATTAGATCCAAGCTGAACGTCGTCAGGTTCAGTGGTTACCACTGGAGCGTCTCTGTACAGGCTTTATAGGGTTAACTTGGCAGATAAAGCAAAAACAACTAAAAAATACCATCAAAACGTTTAATACAACTAAGATCCAAGTTTTATTTGTTCTCCTTACTCATACATCGTTGTTTCAAGGCAGCAAATTTAGTGCTGGTCCTAATGGAGAAACTTCAAGTTGAGGAGAATTTCTAATCAAGATGGGTGTCTCTTTTGTTTGAGGGCCAAAATGGTTTCATGGGTTTGTATGGCTCTTTGTCTACTATGTTTACGATCAACCTGGGGTCGCATTTGTGCTTGTGTCCACCTCCGGGGAAGTTGGCTACAGCCCTGTGAACAGCAGCTGTGGTCAGTTAAACATGAAGCTGCTTGAAGATGATCTGGCAACTTTAACTTTTAGTATGGATGTCTATAATGTTCTGTTTGAGTTCCTCAGTCAGCTCTCTCTGTTTTCTGCTCCATGGTCAGTGTGGTGTAAACAGTCCCAAACTACTCACTGACTGTTGGTTTCCTGTAAATCAGCTGAACGGCTGATGAGAAGCGTGACGGCACCGGGGATACTAAACAGTTTGAAGCAGGACGATGACGCAAAGATTTATCATTCCTTTAAGGATACCAACAAATTGTTCTTTTGATTTTAGAATGTATTTGTAAAATAAGCAACAATGTCAAAAAAACACTAAACCATTTATTTTACCGTTTTTGTTTGCTGTATTACAAACTAAGAGCAGCAGATATGTGCTAGGCAACTGCTTTCAACTGAAGCAATGCTTTAATGCTCTTAAAAAGTGATTAAATGAGCAGTAAGTTTGTTAAATGATGAACATACACTGCCTGGCCAAAAAAAAAAAAAAGTCTTCACCTGGATTTAACTAAGCAAACGGGTACGAGACTCCTATTGGATAATTACTGCATGGGCGATTATCTTTCAGCTGCAACAAGTTATTTAACCCCATCTGGTGCAATGAGTTGCTTCTCATTTCTTAAACAACCGTGTTGAAAGACACATGGCGTGATCGTGGAAAAGATGTCAGTCTGTTTGAGAAGGGTCAAATCATCGGCATCAAGCAGAGGAAACATCTAAGGAGATTGTAGAAACTACTAAAATTGGGTTAAGAACTGTCCAACGCATTATTAAAAACTACCTTAAGAAAACCATTAATCAGTGAGGCTAACTGGAGAAAAGGCTTCAATTTGCTAGGGAGCATAAAGATCGGACTCTGGAGCAATGGAAGAAGGTCATGTGGTCTGATGAGTCCAGATTTACCCTGTTCCAGAGTGATGGGTGCAGAACACCAATAGCGGGCGGTCCAGCGGGGGGGAGTTGGAGGGCAGTCTATGTGTCCTCCCCCAGAAAATGTGGAATAAAAGAGATGCCATTTCCTACATTTTGGTGTATTTGAACATGTCGTTAAACATCTTTGTTTACCTACATTTGTAAACATTTGATTAAATTGATTAAAAACAGGTCTCTTGTAAACGAGTCCTCGAGGCTCATTGAGACAAACAACCTGTAGAAATAAAGGTTGAATTCAAATTAATATTTTAGAGAGCAAGAAGAAAAACCTGTGAAAAGATCAGCTCCGATTTTGTCAAACATTCTACCCCCGCAACTCAAATCTCCGCCTCTAAAAGTCCAAAGTCATCGCGCATTTTTTTTTGATTATTTATTAAAAACACAACGAGAGGAGACGTTGCCTAGTCTGTGGAGTGGATGTTCCAGCCTCAGCACATGCACCACGCTCCTGCCAGCAGAGACACAGACCGCATGTCCCGCGGGGAACGTCTTCATGCTTTAGCTGTGCACCATACAGACAGTGCATGTTTTACGCAAGGAGCGTCTCCAGAGTGCGCACAGCTGCTGATGTGTGGGAACTCCTGCACATAGACATATACACACAGCTGAAGGTGGATGAAGACACTCCCCGCGGGGCATGCGGTCCGCGTCTCTGCTGTCAGGAGCATGGTGCGCATGCTGCGGCTGGAACATCCACTCCACAGACTGGGCAACGTCTCCTCTTGTTGTATTTTTAATAAATAATCAAAATAAAAATGCGCAATGACTTTGGACTTTTAGGGGCGGATATTTGCCAGATCCGAGGAAACAGTTGCCAGAACACAGTCGGACAGAATGAGGGAGTTCCCGGATCTTGTTCCAGCAGGATCCGGCTCAAATTAACTACTGGATGGGCACATCAGGGTAAGAAGAGAGGCAAGTGAAGTGATGCACCCATCATGCCTAGTGCCTAGTCATCAATGCAAGATCTTGGTGAAAAATTAATGCAACACTGGATGGAAATAGATCTTGTGACATTGCAGAAGCTTATCGAAACAATGCCACAGAGAATACATGCCGTAATCAAAGCTAAAGGCGGTCCAACAAAATATTAGTGTGTGACCTTTTTTTGGGGCCAGGCAGTGTATAAGTGAACCAATTAGGACTTTATGGACACTACAACATCTGGCTCCAATTTATTATTTTGTAACTATCATATTTGTTTAAATATGAAGTAAAAGTCCCACAGCAAGACCTCTTGTAGATGATATCTTCATCAGGTCTTCTCACCATGTCCACCCATCCATCCATCCTTCTTCCTTTCCATGTCACGGGGGTCACTGGTGTCCATATTCAGCAGTCACTGTACGAGAGGCAGGGGACACCCTGGACAGGTTGCAAGTCCATCACAGGGAAACAGAGAGACAAATGAGACAACCAGTCACACTTTGACTCTCACCTGCGCAGGATAACTCCCAACCTTCTGTGGACAGATCCTCTGCTGAAGAATTCATTTTTTCAGAGAGTTTTGTAAACTTTATTTTCCATTTCCTGACTGGCGTATTCCATAAGTTACCAAAGAGGAAGCATTTAATATGCTCAGAGGAACCATGACCTTCAGCTGCTCAGAAATCCCCTCACGCTCCAAACATCTCCCAAATCTCTTGCTTATTTACACCAAACTGGGCACATTTCCCCAGGAACCTCACCATGAAAGGAGTCCCAGCTGGCAGAGGCAGCTTCGGCACAAGTTCTCAAAAAAAGAAAAAGTCTTAAAAGAAAGTACAACTGTGCTGTTTATGACATACACCTAACAGCAGGAAGTTTTCTGGTTTGACTTTTGAGTCTTCGGGCGTTTCTGTTTTGTGGGTAATGTCTTTTTTTATTTTTTGTTTTGCTGTGTTTGTCCTGAGAAGCACCGCCGACCTCTCTGAGGTGGAGCTTGCTGCTCGGGCTGCAGCTTCAGTAGAAGACATTTATTCAGTAAAACATATGGCACATTGTTATAAATTATGCCTTTTTTTTTTTAAACATCACAGTGTTTTTTTTTTTTTTTCCATCAGCAACTTTTATTTTCAGAAGATGAAAGCTATTCATGCTGAGTTTGGAAAGTGTTTCTTTTATGTTTGATCTTTAAGAAGTGTTTCATCATCATGGTTGTATTTAAAAATTTAAAACAAAACAAAAAAAAAGGAGCAGAATAAGATGATTTACTCCTTAACTTCACTGTTAACGATGCATACTTCAATTCATCCTGTAAAAAAAATCTCCCACCTTAATTAATAAAACACCCGTGATTTATTTCCATTAATGATTTTGTATTAATTGATTGTTAGCTTGAATGTTAGCTTGTCATTTTTACATGGTCCTCGGAGGAGGAGGAGAATCCGAGCTGTTCATCGCGGGTGCTGGGCGAGCACCGAGTTCAAAGCCACAGCGAGAATCTGTTTGAGACCAGCTGGTGGTAAATCCAGTGCAAAGAAAGGCGTCCTCTGGTGCATGTGTCGCACACTGGGCCAGCGTGTGAGTGCGCTGATGAAACGGGAAGATAATGTCCATGTTCAGGCATGTAGCATTACAGCTCACTGGGTTTTATGATCCCTGAGACCGTGGGGAGACCCTCACCTACAGAGCTAGAAGAAAAAAGTCGTGACGTTGTGTGAAAAGTAAATAAAAACAGAATGCAGTGGTTTCCTAATTTCCTTAAACCCAGATTGTATTCACTATGGAGCATGTCCATTATTGTAACTAAGAAATTGTACAATTTATCTGGAAGAGAGAAGGCAAGTTTGAATTTATAGGAGCAGCACAATGGTGAAGCAACAACAACATTCTGCAAACGTCAAGGACGGAGCTATTCTTCTAAATTGCTCAGGGGCCAAATATCCAGCAGTTATTTTCATTAAGCAAGTTCATTTTGTGGTTTAAAATCTAGTTTTATTTTAAAAAAATAACCCATTGGTGGGCCGAAATGAGATCACCAGTGGGCCTGATTTGGCCCCGGGGCCATCAGTTGAATAATCCAGGTCTAGGGCCTGAGAAGACCAATGATGGGGTTCTTGAGGGGAATGCTCTTTTATTTTTATCTGATGAGTTTTGCTGTGCAACAGTCCAGGATCGGCTGTGCTTTCCCAAATGTGTAAGCTGCACATGCCATAGGCACTAATGCACCCCCATGCCATCAGAGAGGCAGGCTTTTGACCTGTGCTGCAAACAGGCTATGGTCCCTCTCCTCTTTAGTTAGTTTAGCTAAAATAAGATTGTTGTCTGGGTGGAGGTTATGTCAGAAAACACCGAGCCTAAATAAAATTAGGGTTTTATACGAGTGGAGCATCAACCTCGTGGTACTTTGAAACTCTCTGAGATTAAAACGGCAGCCCCAGGTTGCTACATTTCATTTGCGATTTCAGACTTTTCTTGCTTTCTGACGATATTAACAGAAACGTCTGCAAATTACAGCAGCTTTACAGAAAACTCAGCCACATCGAGACGGTATTTGTCAGTAAAAGTATAGGAAAGATGCAAACTGTCGTAAATAAACTAGCAGACTGCACAATTCGGTAAATATGCTAACTGATGAATGGATTATTCTACCAAAAATACACTTTCCAAGGAAATAATGAATAATAATGCATCATATCCCTATTGTGTTGTGTCACTTTGTATAAGATCGTCACGTAACATTAAAGAACTTTTTATCACCTGTTAAAAATTGATCAACACGAACCAGTTCATTTAGGTTCTGCAAACTTAGTTCATTATTTTTCCATGTAGTGAACTAAAAAATTGAGTTGATTCAATTTGAATCTGTGTGACCTGGACTTTGAACTAGTTCTTGTGAATCTGACTTTGTGCAGCAATCTCTGTGCTCACTCTGAAAGAGAATAACTTCCCCTCATGCAGCCTTCGAAACGTAGAATTATATTTTAGGATATTTATTGTATATATAAAAAAATACACTGGAATATGAAAACTCAAAAAGTGCAGCTACTTTACTTGTGGCTGTTATTTCTTAATTAAAGTTTAAGGTTAACTTTAGCAGATGCTTGGACTTATTGTTTCTTCCTGGTTTCTTCTGCGTTTTGTTGATTTTCTGTAAAGAAGAGCTCATCAGTGACTGGAGGAGCTCACACCGCCGCCATGGCCTGAGCTCACGGCGTTTCTTCTACACCACAGAGCTCCATTTGATGTTTAGAAACCTTGATACAATGAAGAGGGCCACTATCGTTTATATTCACACAAATCTGCAGCTGAAAATCAGGCCATCCGGAGCCAAAGGGAGTCCTAATCTTCAGCTGAAAGCTGCCCCAGCACCTCTTTTCTGACATTTGAGCACGAGGCATTCACTGAAAGCCCAGAAGGTTTGAATGAAAATCTATTATCATGTTTTTTACTATCTATTCACACTACCATATTATGGCTCTATCATATTATATTTCATTTAGATTCACATTTTATTCATTCTCAACTACTGGATCTTTATGAAATGGCTCAGATGAGTACATCATGGCTAACCAATTAGTTATATTTTAATATTTTTTATGGCAAATGTCTTGTTAAAATTCTATTTAACTTGATTTTTGTCCCTTTTTTCTGCTCTTAACTTTTTTTGCACATTTGTTCTTCTTGAAACTATTATTTTTTCATAAAAGATAGAGGGATTTGGTTTATTTAGTGTAAAACTTGTCTATTTAACACAAATTAATTAAGCTTGAGCTTTATGTAATTTTTTTTTCAGTTTGTGTAGATTCTCGGTCCTCCTGGAGTTGGTCTAAAGTTCAATTGGATTATTTTTATTCTATTATTTTTTTTATTCTTGAAGACATTTTGCTTCGCTGAACAGTTTTAAATGTAGGATTAAGACAGTTCTTTACATGAGAACGATGAGTGAGTTCTGAATGGCTTTGCTGTTTGCTAAAGAACGAGAGACTGAGTTGTTTAAGCTAAAAGAAGCAGAACATTAGCCAAAAGCTTAAACATGTATAATGCTAGGACAAAGCAAAGTCTCAAAATGCTAATTAAAAGTAGCAAAGCTTTAGAAGAAAGTAGCAAAATGCTAGAAGTTAAAAGTATTAAAAAGCTGGTTGGAATCTAAAAGTAGCCAAAGGCTTGCCGAAAGCTAAAAGTAGCATACAAATACAATAATAGAGCCTGTAGCTCAGGGGTCTGCAACCTACGGCTCTGGAGCCACATGCGGCCCTTTGGTCCCTCTGCAGCGGCTCTTTCAAGCTTTGACCAAAACTGACATAAAACTGAATTTTATTGGTTTTAGTTTTAGCAGTTTTCCTGTTATTTATTTAGCATATGAATACTAGAATCATTGCAAGGAGTAAAACATACTCACTTTCACTTTATGCTTCAAAGTAGGATACGTAATTTTTCTACAATTAAAAAAATCACATAAGAATGCATAGTTTATTGTTTTAGTTTTTAGAAACTGGGCAAAAACTATGTTTTTCTTCTTTTACAAGAATCTTGTCTTTTATTTTGTCTTAGAATGTAAAAATATCAATAAATGTTAAAAACCATTAGATATTTTTAGTTTTATAAAATCTCTCCTACTGTCCAGAAAAGCACCCTCCAACAAACTTAAAGAGGTCCGTGGGCCACCAGTTGAGAATCCCAGTTGTAGCTGGTGTTGTGACTCCGGACACCTTTATTTTAGTGAACAAAGGGGCAGAAATGGCTCTTTGATCGTAAAGGTTGCAGACCCCTGCTGTAGCCCAACCATATCCAAAACAAACTGAAGGGATTTTGATGTATTTCTAAGATTTTATTTCTTTGTAAATAGTTTTTTAAAAATTAAGTAAAAAAAAAAATGCAACATTTAACAGTCAAAGTATCACAATTACAAAACAAGTGGAAAAAATGCAATAAATAAGTCATGACATTCATTTATTCATTCAACCTGTAATGTAAAGTGCGTTATAAATAAAAGTTATTATTATTATTATTATTACAACCTTTATTTATAGAGATTAATCCCATTGAGCCTCGGGACTCATTTACAAGAGAGACCTGATTATTAGATTTAATTATTATATTATATATTAATAATATATAAATATTATATTATACTTATTATTTAACAACACCCTCACTCAGCACAGAGGAGAGTTTGGGTCAAAATACAATAATTTTCAAGTGATAGTGCAAATGCTTATCATTTCTTATCTGGCAACCCTGCCTGACATAGAAACTGCTCTTTTTTTGTGTATTCCTCCCAATAAACAGAATAAACACTCAAGTTTCCAGAGGTTGTTCTCAGATGCACAAGGCCTAACAAACACACTTACACCTAGGGTCAATAAAGAAGTGCTTATTAACCTAATGTGTATGTTTTCAAATTGTGAGGACCAAGCAAAGTACCTAGAGTAACCCCACACATGAACAAGAGAAGAGTCAGGTTTTAAACCGATGTTCTTGCAGAAAGGCAGAGTAAAAACCAACATAAAGGTCACATTGGTCTTATTCATACGGTTGGGATAAAGAGGCTAGCAAAGAGAGGAAACAAAGAAAGATGTGTTGCTTTTTAGGTTTGGGTTGTTCCAACCATTGAAATGAAATGACGTCTTGTTGCTTATTTGGGTTAAAGGCCCGAGCAACAAGCAGTGATTTGTGAAAGTTTGAAGGACTTACAGCCAACTGGTCTGCATCTCCTGAAGAGGAAAGTCCGAGCACACAATGGGCATGGCAAGAAAAGATAAAAGACAAAAACAGAGGGATTTCAACACTTGCTCTGCTTTAGATGCTCTTATTACTCAGCTGGAGAAAGACAGGAAGTGTTTGAAACGGTCTCGTTTCTCCACAAAGACTAAAACAGGTTTCTGCTGTTGATCAGTAACCAGCTTGTGTTGTGGTGTGCTCAGGTGTTAGTGCAGTGTTAGTTATACCTCCACATACGAAACAGAATTTGCAGACTCGGCGGGGATCTCTCAGGCGGTTTAAAATTCTGGCTTGGAATGTGTTGTCCAAAAGCTCTCCTGTTTAGCAGTCTGTCAGCTGACTTGGAGCCTAATAGGAGTTGCCATGGCAGAAGGCGTCTGTGTGGAATGAGTAAGTAATAGCTCTGTCTTAGCTGGAGTGGCTCTCGCTGCCGTTCCACTCTCCGTGCGTAGGAGCTGCAGCGGGAACCCTGGGAGATCCTGAGAATCTGGGCGTGTTTTCGCTGCTTACTGCTGCACGGCTCTTACATTAGCAATGCTCTTTCATTAATCAGCATTAACACAGTTCCACGGGGAGCTCGATTCATGCGGCGATCCCACGGGGAGCGCTCCATCCCCTCTCATTTGTGGTTCAGAAGTGAAGCGGAGTCTGTGAAAAGGGCCGTCTGATTAAAAGCCTCGGTTCTGAGCAGGCTCACTCGAAAGCTGATGATGAATATGTAGTGACTTCTATAAGCTGCTGATGAGTGTAGGCAATGAATACAAATGCAACTATTACTCACCTCAACTTAAGGAAGTGGAAATGGTAACGTCCTACTATGATGCGCAATTATCGTCTTTTTATGATCTGCATTTTTACAAGCCGCAGTAATCAAGTAGCAAATGGGTCACCTCATTTAGCGATCGTCTCAACGTTGCGTCTCCTTTTCAACCCACATCAAAGGAAACAAGCTTGATCAAGATGGTGCCCGTAAACGCTTCACATTTCTCTTTTATCTCTCCTTGACGCGCCGTATCGGATAATTACCGTGTTTTCTTTAACGTGGAGGATTGGATGAAAGAACAAAATAAGTGGCAGAAGACTGCTTTGAATGGAAATCCCTCCATCGTTGATGCTTCTGCTTCACAAGGCCTGTTTAGAGAAAAAAAAAAAGTTTTCCTGAAGTTAATTATATGAGTGGTTAGTGTTACTGTTTGTTGGTTTTGGACACAAAAATGCACGCATCAACAACGTAAGACTATGATTACACAGTTTCTCCTCACATTTCAGCTTCTCCCTTGATGTTTTTCACTGTGCGATCATAAAGTGTCCTAATCCTTTTTGTAACATGAGATAAAGTGGGGGGGCAGGGCTATTCATTCATTCATCCAACCTTTATTTATACAGGCTAGTCTCATTGAACCATAAGGACTCATTTACAAGAGGGACCTGTTCCTGACCGAACATATAAAGTACAGACAATAATAACAATAAACTACATTAAAAATGCAGTTAAAATAAGAGTAGTGTATAAAACAATAAATCAATGTGCCTTAAAATAAGTTAAAATACTAAAAACAAGAACATATTCTTTGATTTTTTCCATTGACATTATCAAATGTTTGAAACCCCTTAAAGAAATGAAGGAGGACAACTTCAGTTCCTGTTGCAAGGTGCTCCATCCAGGTGCAGGAGCTGAGTAGGAAAAAGCCTTTTTGCCAAGTTTAGTCCGCACTGAGGGAACGCTGCAGGTAATGATGTCCTGAGAGCGCATGTTGTAACTGCACTGACGGCGTGGCATGTGAGAGGAGCTATAAGAATCATCAAGGACAGCGAGCATTCAGTCTCTCATAGTTTTAGGCTCAGAAAATGAAAGATATTTAGTTTGTTTGATATCCAAACTCTTCACTTTTTAATGCTATAGCTCTGTCCTGTTGGAGGTTTTAAGAGAGGTCTCTCCTCTTGCTGCAAACCTACAGCCTTTAGATCAGAGATCGAGAACATAAGAACCGAGATGGGTATGGAGATAAGGCAGCCGACTTGGGACCAGAATGTCACGGTTCGACTTGCTGCCATTCCCACATGTCGTGGTGTCCCTGAGCAAGACACCTAATCCCTTATTGCTCCCCAGGCAGCTTAGATAGCCGCCCACTGCTCCACCTGGGTGTATCTCACGTGTGATGGGTTAAATGCAGTGAACTAATTTCGTCAGATGGACGAACTACTGCTTACAGGTCTACGAGTTCACTAACCCCACCCCTCCTCGTTGTCACGGGTTACCGATAATCGACTGACGGTTGCAGACTTTGAGGCTCAACAACTGGAAGTAGCTCAGATATGAACTGGATACTTTTAGCATGGTTATCAGATCAACCACTTTTGAGATTCTGGCAGCTTGGTGGAAAAAAGAAATGTGTGAAACGACCACTTGTTGAGTCGGCCTGGAGGACGGCTCTGTGCCTTTACTGTATTAAAGCAGATTTTTTTTTGGGGGGGGG